ATGACAAAATCTAATGGTACTCTTAACTTCCCTAGTAGCAAACAATGTTGGCGTAATATTGGCACAACATTGGGTATCTTGGCTAATCAAGATATTCGATATTTTGCCAATATTGTCAAGCAATATTACGCCAATATTGTCTTACCAATATTGGCAAACAATATTGCGCCAATATTATCCATTATCGTTTTACTGATATTGTTATGCCAATATAGGCAAAATATTGTTTGCCAATATTGGCTTTATATTAAATTTTACATATTGGTACGCATGCGTAACATTAAGGGATATTTATAATGTCCTTTAGTTTTGTTAAATGTGTTTAAATGTAAATAATAGCATCTTTTTACGTAAACAGGCATTCTTATGTTATTAATTTTTTTACAAAAACAAATAAGAGTTCAAAATAAAAATTTTTGTTTATGAAAAGAGAAGAAGTAGGAAAAGTATTTTTAATTCAACATTTACAGAGTGAATCAGGAGAAGAAGTGTTGGTATTTTATTTTAAAACAGATAGTATCACGAAAAGAAGTAATAAAAGTAATAAAATTCTTTTATTCAACATTACTAATTGAATTACGAGAAGAAGTGGTTGTAATTAATTTAAAACATATTTAAAACATATAAAATAAATAGACTATAAAACTTATATTTTATAGATGAAATCTTCTCAAAGTATTTTAATTTAGGAGTAAACTTACTATTTTAATCTTGATACTTGAGTGTAGCAATATTTTTCTATTCTTCTCGTGATTCATCACGAGAAGAATAGGAAAAATATTGCTATACTCAAGTACCAAGATTAAAATAGTAAGTTTACTCTTAAATGAAAATACTTTGAGAAGATTTCATTTATAAAATATAAGTTTTAAGGTCTATTTATTTTATTAAAAATATTCGTTTAAGAAATAAATACGTCATTATTATTGTTTCTAACTGTTATAAGATTTTAATTTACGAAAAAGGTACTCCTACTTGACACATAATAACATCAATAATATATAT